AAGAACTGGGTTTTCTGCTTCTCTTCTTGGAGGCGTGGTGATGGTAGTAGCAGATGCAAAAGCAGTTATCACATCTCCTTCCCTATTTTGGTACCTCAGCCTGCTGCGCTACATCTACAGCAGCAAGGGGCTGCTCCAGCCATGCCCAAATGTGAGGAAATGAAAGAAGTTGTGGCAAGGGCCTGCAGGGTGTTAGCTTCCAGAGCCCTGTCATTCAAATGAACCGACTACTGCAGCAGACAGGCAAATCTGGTTTCAGCAGATATCTATCAGCCTTTTTCTTGGGAAGAGGGAAGTAGGCATTTCCTTCAGCTGGAGAAACATTTTCTCTAGAGCGAATACATGATGACTTGCGTGCAACAGTAACGTGCTGCAGAAGTACTGTTTGCGTGAGGAGGCTGTAAGAGGATTAACTGTGAAGGAGAAAGAGGAAATTGTGCAGAAATGGGAAGACCATGCAGGTGTGAGCAGACAGGAGGAATTGCAAAGGATCTGTTCTTAAGCAGTACCAGATTACAGACACGTATGAAGCCTGCCATGATGTAGTGAAGTACTAGGATAGATAAAGTATAGTAACTTAACTATATAACTTTAGTTAAAACTTAACTGTGTATGTAGGTATACCAGTATGTGCATCTTTAGAAGTATAAAAGGTTGATTTTAAAAATTGGGATATTTTGTCTTAACTGCTGTGAATAGATAAAGCATTCATTCCTTCTCTTGTTGCTGGAAGACTGGGCTGGGATAATGCTTCCCAGTTCTGTCACGTATAATTGAATGTTGTTACTACTAATAGGATTCAAAGTACTACAGTGGCATCAGTTAAGACACTTAATGCACTGTGAGAAGCAGTTTATAAATACTCATCAGGAAGCTTTTCTGCCAAGTAAGCTAGTTGTTTCTGACAAAACACGGCAGGAGGGTAGCGATGCCAGTCTGAGATGGCAGAAAAACAGTGAGATGTTGAGATAACAGCAAGGATATACTTCTGAAAGCTTTTCTTTGGTTTAAGTTTGTGAAGACTGTCTCTCAGAGCCAGAGACCTGGGCTGTATGGGTTTGTGCATAAATCTTTGCTCCTGTAGAAGAGGCTAGTGAGAGCTGGGTTTATGATGTGTATTTGAAAACTCTTTGCTGTCAAAGCCAGGAAACAGATCTGGAAGTTTTCAGCAGCTGTGACTTGAATTAAAAGAGGTCTAGGGCACTTCAAGGCATTAAACAGATCTTACTTATCTGCATGTTTTTGCTGAGTCTTTAATGGAAAAAACTTCTAATGGCAACCCGCAATAATAACTCAGACTACCGGTTTGAGTTCAGTCATGCTATGTGCCTCGCTGCTGACTGTAGAGGCTTTTCTAACCACAAGTACTGTTGCCTGCAAACAGTTACAGGTTAAGGGAAGGAGAGACAGTTTTAACATCAGTTGCTATGTGTAACCACCCGTGTATTCCACTAACGAAAACTCATTTCTTATCCTTACAGATCGAATCAACATAAAGAGAAAAGGTGCATGGCCTTCTGCCTACCTCTCTGTTCAGAACGTGATTGATTGTGCTGATGCAGGATCCTGTGAAGGTGGAGACCACTCAGGTGTTTGGAGGTATGCCCATGACCATGGCATTCCAGACGAGACCTGCAACAACTACCAAGCTAAGGATCAAAGTACGATGCCTATTTGTCTTGCTGTAAGGCTTCATCCCAGGTTTAGCAGATCTTAATATAAAAAAAAAAGATAGTTTTTTGGGTTTTCAGTGTATAGATTCCAGCCTTTCAGTGTAGTAGCTGCTGTTTGACTGACAGAACAGGTTTTCTTTATGGACCTGCGTGTGTCTTCTTACTCTAGCCAGACAGACAGGATTAAATCATGCCCAGACAAGTTTGCACAGCTAAATTGTTTAAACTTAATCTCTTCCATCTGTGATATACAATCTCTAATGTACTGAAATATTTACAAGTGTCACCTCAAGCTAAATAAAAGAGAAATGTAACCTTTGTCTAGTCATGTATGACTGGAATAGTTTCTGTATCTTACAGAGTAGCACATCTGAAACACTTCCTCATCAAAACACTTATGCCTACGGAGTGAAAGAATAGTAACTAGCAACTGTAGAGACTTCAACTGTGGTTTCCAGAAAGGCATTTAGTTCAGCAGACAGAGTATGGATTACTAATTAAGTCATTAATATCTGCTTCAAATAAGTTAAAAGATTAAAAAAAAAGCTTAGTGTGTGTCCTGGTTTCAGCTGGGATAGAGTTTTCTTCCTAGTAGCTGTGGTCTGGATTTAGTATGAGAAGAATGTGGATACCACTCCGATGTTTTAGTTGTTCCTAAGCAGTGCTTATGCTAAGTCAAGGCCATTTTCAGCTCACCATGCCCTGCCAGCTGCACAAGAAGCTGGGAGGGGGCACAGCCAGGACAGCTGACCCAAACTTGACCAAAGGGCTATTCCAGACCATATGATGTCATGCTCAATGTATAAGCTGGGGGGGAAAGAAGGAATGGGGAGGACGTTTGGTGTGATGGCGTTTGTCTTCCCTCAACCTACAGGTTTGACTTTTTTTTCCCCTCAGATTCTTTTCCTCATCCCATGATGGGGGGGAAGGTGAGCAAGCAGTGGTGTGGTGCTTGGTTGCCAGCTGGGGTTAAACCATGATGGTGTGATATCATTAATTCACTTGGAGAAGCATTCCCTTGTGGTGATAATCTCACTTTTGTTTTGTAGAGTGCAAGAAGTTTAATCAGTGTGGAACTTGCGTCACTTTTGGGGAGGGCCATGTGAATCTGCATGTTTTTGCTGAGTCTTTAATGGAAAAAACTTCTAATGGCAACCCGCAATAATAACTCAGACTACCGGTTTGAGTTCAGTCATGCTATGTGCCTCGCTGCTGACTGTAGAGGCTTTTCTAACCACAAGTACTGTTGCCTGCAAACAGTTACAGGTTAAGGGAAGGAGAGACAGTTTTAACATCAGTTGCTATGTGTAACCACCCGTGTATTCCACTAACGAAAACTCATTTCTTATCCTTACAGATCGAATCAACATAAAGAGAAAAGGTGCATGGCCTTCTGCCTACCTCTCTGTTCAGAACGTGATTGATTGTGCTGATGCAGGATCCTGTGAAGGTGGAGACCACTCAGGTGTTTGGAGGTATGCCCATGACCATGGCATTCCAGACGAGACCTGCAACAACTACCAAGCTAAGGATCAAAGTACGATGCCTATTTGTCTTGCTGTAAGGCTTCATCCCAGGTTTAGCAGATCTTAATATAAAAAAAAAAGATAGTTTTTTGGGTTTTCAGTGTATAGATTCCAGCCTTTCAGTGTAGTAGCTGCTGTTTGACTGACAGAACAGGTTTTCTTTATGGACCTGCGTGTGTCTTCTTACTCTAGCCAGACAGACAGGATTAAATCATGCCCAGACAAGTTTGCACAGCTAAATTGTTTAAACTTAATCTCTTCCATCTGTGATATACAATCTCTAATGTACTGAAATATTTACAAGTGTCACCTCAAGCTAAATAAAAGAGAAATGTAACCTTTGTCTAGTCATGTATGACTGGAATAGTTTCTGTATCTTACAGAGTAGCACATCTGAAACACTTCCTCATCAAAACACTTATGTCTACGGAGTGAAAGAATAGTAACTAGCAACTGTAGAGACTTCAACTGTGGTTTCCAGAAAGGCATTTAGTTCAGCAGACAGAGTATGGATTACTAATTAAGTCATTAATATCTGCTTCAAATAAGTTAAAAGATTAAAAAAAAAGCTTAGTGTGTGTCCTGGTTTCAGCTGGGATAGAGTTTTCTTCCTAGTAGCTGTGGTCTGGATTTAGTATGAGAAGAATGTGGATACCACTCCGATGTTTTAGTTGTTCCTAAGCAGTGCTTATGCTAAGTCAAGGCCATTTTCAGCTCACCATGCCCTGCCAGCTGCACAAGAAGCTGGGAGGGGGCACAGCCAGGACAGCTGACCCAAACTTGACCAAAGGGCTATTCCAGACCATATGATGTCATGCTCAATGTATAAGCTGGGGGAAAAAGAAGGAATGGGGAGGACGTTTGGTGTGATGGCGTTTGTCTTCCCGAGTAACCATTACACGTGATGGAGCCCTGCTTTGTTCTTTTATTATTACTTTCTCTTCCTTTGCTGTCCTGCTGTCCCTATTAAACTGTCTTTATCTCAACCTACAGGTTTTACTTTTTTTTCCCCTCAGATTCTTTTCCTCATCCCATGATGGGGGGGAAGGTGAGCAAGCAGTGGTGTGGTGCTTGGTTGCCAGCTGGGGTTAAACCATGATGGTGTGATATCATTAATTCACTTGGAGAAGCATTCCCTTGTGGTGATAATCTCACTTTTGTTTTGTAGAGTGCAAGAAGTTTAATCAGTGTGGAACTTGCGTCACTTTTGGGGAGTGCCATGTGATAAAGAACTACACTCTCTGGAAAGTTGCTGACTATGGGTCTGTCAGTGGAAGAGAAAAAATGATGGCAGAAATCTATACTAATGGACCAATTAGGTAAAAAAAAAAAATCTTGAGTAGTAAAAAAAATATTTACTAGTAACAGTGGGATTGAAATACCTGAAATTCATTCTAAGGACTGAAGTGTACTTCTCCACTCTAGCATATGTTATCAGAGCAGACTTTGTTTGTAGATAAATTGAGCCCTGAAGTCAAAATGCAAGAAACCCAATTGTTTTTTAGCCAGGCCCCTGCCCTGATCCCCTTGTATAAAAATGCTTTCTCTGTTTCTCTGTTCTATTACAGCTGTGGTATAATGGCAACTGAAAAGTTGGATGCTTACACTGGAGGACTTTATACAGAGTACAACCCTTCGCCTGTGGTGAATCACATTGTATCTGTGGCTGGCTGGGGTGTAGAAAATGGAACAGAATACTGGATTGTTCGTAACTCATGGGGTGAACCCTGGGTAAGGAAACATGGGAACAGACAGACTTGCAGAATGATGGTTTTTTTCACTTGCAAACAGGAAGCTGCAAAGCTAGCCCATGGATAGGAAAGTAAAACTTTCTTTGAACAGGGCTGGCAATTAAAAAATGAAGCCTAACTAATCTGAAGACAAGGATATTCAGCCAAAGTTACTTGAGTAATGTCAACTCAATCCAAAATGCTACCCTTCTGTGGACATGCAGCTCCTGTAATAGGCAACTGTAAATTACTGTTAATTATAGGGAAAAAAGAAGTCACATACCTGGAATAGACAAGGGGGAGGTAAATTCACCAAAGCAGATTGCCCCTTTAAACAAGCTTGCCCTGTGAACCTAGTGTTATCCTTCATCTTGAGTGGATTCCTAGATTTGCTTATAAATTATTCATATTTGGAAGACAGAACAAACTCAATAGCATACATTTTCTGTAGTTATGTTTTCTAATTCACAATGCAAATTAATTCTTTACAGGGTGAAAGAGGGTGGCTGAGAATTGTGACAAGTGCATATAAAGGTGGAAGAGGAGCAGAGTACAATCTTGCTATTGAAGAGGACTGTGCATATGGAGATGCTGTACTTCCTTGATTCTACATTGTACATCATCCTGTTTAGGAACTACTTTGTTTGGAAGCTTTGCAAAACAACCTTTCTCCGTTTAAGGAACAGTAGTCTAAAACCCTTTCACAGTTCAACACCATTAGGCAGTTCTGCAAAATTAGCCCAGACAGCAACACACAATGTCTTCAAAGCAAAATAAATACAGAACTGCCTTTAGGTAATTATTTACAACTTAGAAAGTAATTTACCTATGAAAAAGTTGTCTGCCTTGATGCACACCATTTAAATCATACTGACTTAGTCACAAAAACTGTGTATGTAAACTTCTGTATATTTTTTTAAATACAAATTATATAGACATCCTGGGAAGGAAAAGTATACTCAATACTTGGGTCTAGAGCTTATATTAAAGCTCTCTGACAGTACTGAGCAAGTATCATCTCACAATGATACAGATGAAAAAACAATGATAAGTAAGTCTGGACATGATGTATTAAATCCTGGTGTTTCTTTGGCCTCCTGGTAAACAGTGTTGTTGGAAATCTCATATAATGTGGTTACTTTTATCCAACCAGAATGATATAACAGGACTTGCTTTGATCAAAAGATGATGTCCAACCACTTAGGTATTGAATTAGTCTTTTCTTTGCTCAAATTCCTTGCTTTACTATGTGATCGGCTGTGCCATTTTTTTTCCTAAAGAGGGAAAGTATAAATTGCCACAAGCCAGAACTGCTCACTAATTTGAAGAAAGGTAGCAAATTCTCTTCCTCAGAAGTGTGCCAGTTACTAAGTGTTAACTGGCATTGTTAACTGCATTTAATAAATGGACATTTTTCTCTTACATGTGTATGCTTATGTTTTCAGTCATCTTCTGTGGTTGTACCTAACAAGCAGTCTCATGTGGCAGACTGGGACCAATAAGGATTAATTCTGCCAAGCTGCAACTTACTTACATTCTATTGAGATATGAACATGGTAGTGTGACAGTACTGATCACAGCATCGTGGGGCTGGATAAGGCAAGGGCACATGCGTTCCTTTTAAAAGAGGAGTGAAGAATCTATACAGTTGGCTGCTGTCTCAAGAAACTATGGTAGCTTAGCATTCCCATTCACGAATTACTGACAGAGAACAAAGTGATTTCCTTTTTATTTACATCCCATTAGACTAAAAATGTCACTGACTTTTAGAAAGCAGGTTCTTCAGAAAAGAGATGTGCTTGGAAAAGCACACTGGGCTTGTCTATACCACTCACTTTTAAAGAAGGCATATTTACCTGTACAAAGAGAAATCCAGCCTAATGAACAGAAAGTAAGAGGGGTCTTAATGAAACTTTGAAAGAAATCTCTGGAATAGAAAAACACCTTTATTTAAAGGTAAATTATAATCTTAGGTGTATCCCCCACTCTTTGGCATCAACCAGGACAGAGCAGAGTTAAATATAAAAAAACAAGCCATGAGAAGCAGTAATGAAGTTTCTGCACACATTCGTATTTTTGGACAGCAGTAGGATTCTGACATGGTAATGAAACTTACCAGTAACATTTGACACATCTATTGTAACAAAAAAATAGATTCTGAAAGATAACACACTCACATAGGATTCATCTGTTAATGCAAAACTAATCTTGATTGTTACAATTCCACTTGTGATACACAAAAGGTTTGGGTTTGTTTTTTTTTTTTATAGCAGTAAATATGGAGGATATTTAGAATTCTAATATAATGCAAAGGTGAGAAAGAGGCATTATGGCTTCTCTGCAGCACAGCTCAAATGACACAAATTCCTTTTTTTTTTTTTTTTTTTTTTCCTCCCCAACTTGCAACATCAAAACCTATGGCATTCAAGATTCAGCCTTGAGAGAACTATCTGCGAAGTGTTTTTAGTAGGAACTACCTTCTCTATTCTTCAGGTTTTGTATATTACACAAAGACTCAGTGGCAAATATCCACAAGTAACCAAAATAAATAACACTCTTTGAAATAAACCTGTTTCTCCTGCTATCCCTTTCAGGGTATTCAGATAGATACCAATTTGTGTAACAGAAAATCCTTCAGAATTATTCCATCTTCCAAAGTATGTTAACAGTCCTCTGATATGAACAGAAGGTCACCACGTAAGTCAATCAAATGCCCTTCAGCCCTTTCTTCCTTGTTTGGGGTTTGTTGGGTTTGGGGGTTTTTTTTGCTGTTGTGTTGCCCAGTTATAGAACCTTAATTGTGGAGAGTGTGGCAAAGTCGTGATCATGCGCTCTGCATTCTTGATAGTTTTCCACTGCTTAGTTCATCATAATAAAGTTAGATTTGCAATGAGCTTGAAGAAGAGAAAAAAAAAAGAAATGTTCAGTACATTACTCTGATTTACTCGTTTGCATGTGGCTTTCTGCATTATGTAAATAATTAGGATTTGAGGGTCTGGACAGATTTTTTGGTTTAGGATAGGAGTGTATTATGACAGACTACTTCCCTTCCTATCCTTTCCTTACTACAGTGCTAGTTCTCAAAAAGCAGCATTTGTCTCTAAGCTCCTCACCACTACCCAGAGATTCTTTATTAAAGGAAAAATGCTAAACGCAGGCCCCTAAAAGGGAAGTCATCTGTGAAAATATCTGGCAGGCATTTCTATTTTTAGCAATGCTCCTCCTGAACATTATTTACAAATTGTAACAAATACATAAGGAAGCAGGTATGCAATGAATAAACACGACTTACCTATAAACTCAGTGACAGGATCATGTTCACCTTCTGTTTTAATAGTACCTGCAATACTTTCATTCTCCAGGATTGGAAGAAAAAGCTGTACAAAGTCTGAGGTATAAGGAGGAGCAATCACATCCAGCACCTGAAACAGCAGACAAAAATGGATTATTCTTCCAGTTAGAGAGGTAGCAGGGATATTTAATTCACAATACTGAAAGCATACAAGTAGTTGCACTCAAGCCCTCTTGTTCTCCATACAAGTAATTAATTATGTATTCTTGTACGCAGTACCTTAATACTTTCAGGAGTCAGTAGGACTAAGTCACATCAGAGTGAATACTGATAGTACATACACATAGTATTTTTGAATCTGAGGCAAGCTGATTTAATATCCAAACACATATAACTTATTATTAAAGTGTATTTCTACATGTTAGTAAACACTATTTTTGCTGCTGACCTCTGTAACAAAGTATCTGATGAGAGAGATATCTGTATCTTGCTTCTCCAGGCATTTGCGGATATAGCTGACAACAGGCAGGACATATCCTCGACTGAGTAAGTGCACCATTCTATCCAAGAGAGTCTTCTTCAATTCCAGCTGATGGCGGGGGTCAGGGTGTGGAGGGAGAGAAGAAAACAATGGATTAGAACTTCCTCTCAAAAACATGCAATTTCTATTGCTTATTCTTATTGATTCAATATCTGCTATTTACTTTTTAACCATGACCATATTCCTAAATTAAACTCTTAAAACCACCATGGCAGCAAAAGCTATTATCTTGAATAAGCGTAACTAATACGAAGGAACACAAACACTGAATCCTTTGAGAATCACCTGCTCCATTACATCAAGCTGCGAATGTTCTGTTTCAAAGAGCTTGACAAGAAGTTGTAGAACTTGGGGATGAAGCAGCTGATGGCATGTACTGATCTGCAAACAAGACAAGAAAGTTAGATCCTCAGAACTTCGATTTAAAAAAAAGAAAAATGCACCAGTCTTTTATCAGACAAGTTTACATTGATGTTCAATGCCAGATGTAAAAATTCTTTTAGAAAAGCATTCCACCATTTCCTTTGATGCCTAAGTTTTCCTAGTGTAAGTAATGCTGAGATGACAAAACCAAGTACTGAACTCTGAACAGACACAGGTTCATTTCTGTGTATTTACTGACTTACTGCAAATGACAGTACATCCAGTTCACTGGATGTACTTCCAGTTACAAGGGTCAGAAGTGTTTTTCCTGTCTGCCAAGATTTTATATACGCTTTTACCTCATCTAATAATGCCAGATGAACTGGAGTGTGGTCAGTCTGCAGCTGAAAGTATCGTGGCTCTGACACTGTCCAATCCACCCACTTCAATACACCCATTGCCACCACTGGGAACCTACAGAAGAAGGGATCACTTTAGTACAGGAACATCAAAAAAACCACCAAACCCACCCAAAAATCCCCCCAAAACCCAAACAAACCACCAAATCAAAAAAACAACAAAAAAAACCCCAAACCAAACACAAAAAGCCCAATCTCAAAACAAACTAAAAACTCCCAGTAATTTTTTTTTTTTTAAAAAAAATCATCTTTCAGTATATTCTAATGGTTGCTAGTTTCAGTTTAACTTACAGCAGAATTAATAAAGGTCAAAAAGCTTTGTTTGAAAAGTTACCAGCACATCAAGGGGAAAACAAAACAAAAGATAGGCCAGAGGAAAATTCTTTCTACAAAGACACTCTCTGCTCAGCACAAAATGCAAAAAATAAAAAAGTGTCATGTACACTCTAAGTTTGTTCCAGTTTATTCAATGTCTGCTATTTCATACTTTTAAGAGGAAAAGAAAGGACACATCTATTGCTAGGAAAGCTTTATTAGGAAGACAATGTAATCTGTCATCTTTTTCCAGTGGCAGAAAAAAGCATATTCTGTGACACAAGAAGGACAAATTGTCAGTGAAAGCCAGAATCTAGGTACTCATGAGAGAGATTCCAAAAAGCCAGATGTACAATATTGAAAGCTGCTTTCAGATCACATCTTTGCATATTCTACAATGAGGATGTTCTCACAGAGTAGCCCACAAAGACACTTCCCTTTAGCAGCACTGACTCTCCTAAATAATATTTTCCTTCCAGCAACTTGTGACCTTCCAGAGCTTGTGACCAGTCTCTCTGCTCACCTGATGCACTGATAAAGAGTGCTGAGTTCTGCAACCAACTCTGATGCTCCTTTGTTCTCATTGCAACACAGGTTGTGAACAGTTTCAATGGCTTTTGAAGTTGACTTGAGTTCATCCTTGTTTATGCTGACTCTCTTGTTCTGAAAAATTGCAAAGTTTGGAATGCAAGAGTCACGACTATACAGGATGTCTTGGTTATTTAAGGAAAGGAATTGTAACCTGTGATAAGCCTGATTAAATCATGTTTCTCAAAATTTCGACTCAAATGCAGGTTTCAGAAATAAGTATCAATGAGCTGAAGTACAAGGATGTTTGCTTTATTTAGTTCCCTAAGAATTACTCTATCCACTTCATGGAATTAAATTTCTTTTCTTCTGAAAAAGCACATACAGTTCTAGTAAGAGAGAACTGCTACTGATAACCTTTGGGGGAGGTGGGGGAAAAGAGCAAAAATACTCAGTGCACTCAGACTTTTATAGCGCTATTTGATCACCAGGGATCTTCAGAATCTACATTTTTTAGTTGTTTCAGTTGAAGCCAGAAACATTTAATATTAAAATAAGTAAATCAAGCCAAATATGTGATTTTAAACTGAATAGCTTCATAACCATGCATTTTCTTCAGCACAGTCAGGCCACTGTAGGTAAAATAAATGTTATTCACAGAACTGAACATTACCTTTTTCCACATCTCTACTACACTAGCTGCATATGCCAGTATGTGAATATATTTATGTTTGTGGTCCTGGTTGATCTTAGCACCTGGCTTAAACAATGACTGCATGAAGAGGTCCAGAAAGGCAGGTACTCGAATCTGTAAAGAAAATTAATGGTTTATTACAGCCTGAGAATTCTGAGGTAACTAAAAATGTAATTTTTGCATCTGATATACCTTGCATAGAATGAGATATAACACATTTCCCCTTGGGACTAGGTTAGATATTTTTCTGAACAGACCCCAAATTTGACACAATCACAAGAAAAAAAACCAAAACAAAACCCAAACCACCAAAACCCACCAAGCAACAGAGTTATGGACTATATTGCTAAAGTACCTAAATGCCACCATTTGTTACCAGAACCTATGTTAGAACGAGGCAGTGAGAAATCTGAAACATGCCGTTTAGGCCCACTTATAACAAAGTGCAAAACCAGGTGGGTTTTAAAATTACTTTTTAATAAAAGTTAATTAATTCCTTGCTATCTTCATCTCCTACTAAGAAGTTCTTTAATTAATTTAACTATATGTGAAAAGACAGCTTGTAATGATTAAAAAAATATCAATCCACAAGCTAATGCAAAACAGAATACAAGTAGTAGTTTCACATGTAGACATAAAATTATAGAGGGGTGAGTCCAAGTGCTAACTTCTATTCTGTGTTGATACAACACTTTGCACAAAAAGACCTCATAATTCTGAGTGCTACTGTAATAGAAGTAAGTTTCAGAGGTTATAAAGAGATAACTACTAACCAGTTCTACTGGAGGTGGGTCCATGCTTGTAAACATTTTGAACAGGACAGTGATATCTGCTGGATTCAGAGCTCCTTTGGACAACATCGCACCAAGAGCCTGACATGCTCGAGGATAGGAGGCTGCAGTACCCAACGCTAGAGTGATCTGACTGGCATCATGGCCTCTAGATGAAGAGCAAGCATACACAGCAACTTATTTTTCTTAATTAAGACATTTTAGTTTTAGCATCACTGAGTCAACAAGGCACATGCTATGAAGTGTAATGCCTTAGGGTAGAACCCCTTATCCGGGGCAATTGCAGAAACAGGCCTGTATTTCCCTTGTTTGTTTCTAAAGCGTTTGCAGAATAACAAAAATATATCTTTTTTAACAGACAGAAGCTTCGATTCTTTGCTCTTCTTATGTCAGGTCTCCCAGTACAGGACATCGAACTTTTCTGTTATTCTACGAATTAAAACCAGCTACAAGAACTGCTCTGTTGCAGCTAAGAATTTTCCTTTTGCTGGTAAAAGGTAATCAAGAATAAGCAAGAGACAGCAGTTTACAAATCCCAGTGACTTGTATTTCACTAATAATGTAACTCTGTGCTGGTTTTGGCTGGGATAGAGTTAGTTTTCTTCATAGTAGCTGGTATGGAGCTGTGTTTTGGATCCGTGCTGGAAACAGCATTGATAACCCAGGGATGGGTTGGGTCCTGCTGAGCAGGGCTTACACAGAGCCAAGGCCTTTGCTGCTCCTCACCCCACCCCACCAGCGAGCGGCTGGGGGGGCACAAGGAGCTGGGAGGGGACACGGCCGGGACAGCTGACCTCAAGGGTATCCCACACCGTATGACGTCATGCCCAGCATATAAACTGGGGGAAGAAGAAGGAAGGGGCGGGGGGGGCACTGGGAGTGATGGCGTTTGTCTTCCCAAGTCACCATTAGGCGAGATGGGGCCCTACTGTCCTGGGGATGGCTGAGCACCCGCCTGCCCGTGGGAAGCAGGGAATGAATTCCTTGTTTTGCTTTGCTTGCATGTGTGGCTTTTCCTTTCCCTATTGAACTGTCTTTATCTCAACCCACGAGTTTTCTCACTTTTACCCTGATGATTCTTTCCCCCGCCCCCCACCAAGGGGGAGTGAGCGAGTGGCTGTGTGGGGCTGAATCGCCAGCTGGGGTTAAACCATGAAAAACTCCCACTTACTTCTCATGAGCGTACCGCTGAACCTCTTGAGCGATCCGTCTAACAGCTGACCCTCCTTGCTCTTCTTGAGCTAATATGGACATCATAGATTGAGCAAAAAGATAAGTATGTTCTCCATGGCACACCATCTTCTGTGAAAGCACACATCAAAAATCTTACCAGTCAACAAGAAACATGCATGTATGTTTCTGTGATTACATTGCCATAATAGCAAAGATTTCACAGCAGTGATTTGTATATCCTAACTGGAAAGGAAAACACTATTTTCTTTCCACATAAAAAGGGAAGAAAACTTACAGCAAACTCAGGGAGGTTTTTTTCAAGGTTTTCTTCTCCTCCATCCAAAATTGTTGCCAGAGATGTACGCAGGACTCTGGAAAATACTTCCAGTTGCTGACATGCTGTTGAAACACTGGTTATTTCCCCTTGATATCCAGCATCAGATATAAGCTATAAAAACAAGACCATCACAGAAAATGTGTATTGTTTACATTTATACTTCAGATATCCTAACAAGTCTAGAAGAATACACAGAATGTAAGATTTGCCTCTGCTTACACTTAGTGGAATTCAAGTTCAGCTTTTAGACTACAGAGAAGGAAACCAATAAAAGATGTAGCAAAAAGAAAGTAAACCATAATGATATAAGAGTATTTCAGAGCATACCAAGATATATCGTAACATTCTTTCCCTGTCAGAGAAACGTAAAGCTGACTGAAATGTTCCACTGCACCAGAAATCCAGAATTTTCAAATACAGATCAAAAACCAACCAACCAACCAAGAAAAACCCCACAAAACCCAAACCAAACAAAACACAACAAAAAACTCTAAAAGCAGTACTTCAAACTAGGAAACTACACTTACTACTTTTGTCCTGTAACACAATTCCTCCCACCAATATGTACTTGTACTGTTCTGACGTTTGAATAAGCAGTATTGCATAAAAGACACAGGTAAGACTGCAGCCAACATTTGATGCCAAAACAATTAGTCCTTTATGGATATTCTCATTTATTAGACTCGAGTATACTACCTTCACAGTAAAATTAAGCATTAAACAGTCGGGATGGGCTTCTGCCAACTTGTAAAAGAGATCTCTCCACGTAGTATGCGCTATCATTTGTTCAAGCCAGGCTGGAGTCTGAAAAGATCAGAGCAATAGAGAGACATTAAGACTATCTAGTTGTCAAGATCATTAAAAGTACGCCTTCTACCTCTCAGGAGTCCTGCCAGTTGTTATACAGGACTTTATTACAAAGGAGGATGCAATCAAAGTTTCTAAGTTCTCTAAGCCTCTGAGGACTCCAGTAAAATACAGTTAGTTTTCTGAGACCAGTTGTTTCTTAATAAAAGAGCTCTGAAGATGCAATTTCCCTTCCCCCACCATCTACTACTCCATCGGATGAAGACATCTATGTAGGATCCACTCATGTAAAGATAGCAACACGGGTTCCATGCACACCTCTCCTTCCTCTGTAAAGATGGAATCTGCTTTCCGAGGGTCAAAATGCTTGATAAGTAAGCTCTTTAAATGGTTTTCTACAGTCTCCTGAACTTGCACTGGCTCAACACCTGTATAGAAGGAACAAAAAACTTGGCAGGTGCAATCCAATCAAACATAGCAGCAACATCTTAAATTTTTCAACAAGAACAGAAACTACTCAAATTTATCAACACGCAGAAGATGAGAGGAGTGCCACCAGCTCTACTGTCAAGCCACATTGATACAGACAGATTTACAGATTCTCAACCTTTTTTCTTAAATGCAGATCGTTTAGGATCACAGGCAGGTTACACTAGTTCTTTTAGTCTTGCTCTCTTCAACAGTCATGCAAACAGCAAGGCAGGTCATCTCACAAGACTGTTACGGGGCACGGTACCAAAATGCATAGATCTTAAACACAAAAGGGATTATCAGGATTGGCGCACAAACGTTACTACAGACTAAAGACCATTCTTTTAATATATTGACTATTAGTAGCTTTGACAGTGTACTACAAAACAACATCCAAAGTAGTAATAAGTAGTTCTACATTTCTGAGATCAGCGTGCAATACTTCTGATAAAGTTCATACTAGCTAAGGGACAAAGATACTACAAGTTAATGCTGAAAATGTCTTGCAAGAGGCTGCCGAAGAATTCCCAAGCAGACTGGTAATACAAAATTCTTGTCTCAGAGTATGCAGGCACCTGTATGAGAACCTTCCGTCTAACCACTGTTCCACTGAAAGGGAATAATAACTAGTAATAAGGTAATTGGGGTTTTTTCAATATTAATTATGTATCAAATATTCATAATGCCATCTATGTAACAGTACCCTTGCCCTGGTGCATGAGAACAAAAATAAACTATAGTTTATGCAGTTGCTTCCAACTATGTTACCCTTTATAATACAGTTTGTGGGCATTTCAAAATGTTCACCAACAGATCACTTATTCTCTGAGCAGAATAAACATATTATTATAAAGAATTCAGTCACATACAGGATGACAATTTTGTAGTGATCCACTCCCTGAGTATGATCAAATTTGCCGCCAATTCAGATATTTCTGAGAAAACCCAAATTATACTTATACTTATTGTACCTGTTTGAATGAGCCACTCTGCCAGCAAATTTACAGTCTGTGCCACTGCAGTGTAGTTTTCAGAGAGGAGCTGGATAACATTCTCTGGAGAACCTCCTGCTTGGAAATATCTGATGAAAGGATTAGAAAAGAACTATTTTAAAGTTATATTAAAAACCCCAACCCAACAGAACTCTAAATAGAAAACAATAGCATCATTTATCTGTTTTAATACACACTCCCATACAAAGCAATAACACTGCATCTGTAACACATAACGTGCACCATAACACACAAAACGTTCCACTCACCTCTTTAACGTGTTAAATATAGATGGCTCCATTATATAGTCTGGGGTTGAAAATTTCTTGAGGCACTCTTGCTGGACTTCAGCATCATCTTCTCCCTCTCCATCTTCATCGTCTTGCTATTGCAAGCACAGCCAAGTCAGCCAGCTCTCGTCCCATTTCCTCCCGTAGTCCCATATTTTGGCTGGTTTTGCCCACAAAACCTCCCACGCCGCCGTTTACCGCAGCGAGCGACCCGCTCCCCAGACAAACACGACTTCTTAACAGGGAAGGCGCAAAACCAAGGGCCGCCTTGCAGTTGTTTTCCTCCCTTTTAACCCCCTCAAGCCCCAGGCCCCGCCGCCGGGACCGGCTTCCCCACCCGCCTTCACTCTCGGCGCTTTTCGCCTCAGCTCGGAGCCCCAGACGCCGGCCCCACAAGGCGAGGGGCCCCGGGAGCTCCTCCGGGGTCCACCCGGCGTCCCTCGGGAGCAGCCCTCCGCCCTCC